GGAGAGGCTTTTGGCAGTTCCAGGGCTGGGCTGGGGCGGCCTTTTCCTGCCCACACCCCTCTGCCCCCTGCCCGGCTACTCAGAGGCCTCAGTCCCCTGCCAGCAGGGTCCTCAGGCGGGGAGGGTACTCACCGCCGGTGCCCCCATCTTTCTGACACCCCTGGGGGAGCAGTATGGCCATCCAGGAGTCTGGCCTCTGACAGTTTTGGTAGCACTTTGCCGGGGCAGCCACGGGAGGACCCGCTTGGTGTGAGCGGGGTGGCTCTCGGATCTGCAGCCCTTCTGGGAGGCACACGCGTGTGCACGTGTTGGGGGCTCCCTGGGCGGCCTGGCCACATTCCTGATTTGTGCCCTCAGCGTGCCATGTGCTGCCGGGCCTGCACGGACTCCGGGCTGGAGCTGCCCATGCACCTGGGTCACGCGTGGCGGCCCGCCCTGGCGGCAGGTGCTGTGGGGGGGGGGTGCAGTGTCCGCGTGTGCTGCCGGCACCCCGCCCAGGCTAGCTAGAGAAGGGGAGCAGGGGGCCCTCGCCCCCCAGCCGTGTCCCCCCGAGCCCTGCTCCCCAGTCTGTGCGGTGCAGCTGAACAGCCCCCACCCCAAGGGACATCCCAGAGAAGGTGGCCTAAATGGAGGTCGGGGGGCAGTGGGGACTCCAAGGGCAAGAAGTGTTCCAGCTGCACCCCACCCCCAGCGCCTCCCCAACTTCACCTGGGGTGCAAGGAGATCTGGGCTCCCAAGCTTGGGCAGCTCAGCTGTTGGGCCCCCACAGGCTGGCAGCCATAGCACTGAGCCAGGTCTCATTTGGGACAGGGCTGAGGCTTCAGAACCCCAAGTTCCCAGGCTCCTTAGAGGGGTGATACCAGGGGCCTCAGGCCACTGGAGGAGAGTCTGGCCCTGCAGGGGCAGGGGTCCTTCTGTGGATACAGTCTGGGGCCTTGGGAGAAGGGAGTGCAGGCTGAGACCCCAGCAGGCGGGTTCCTGGCACCCCGGGGCTGGCGGCCACTGTGGCCCGAGTACCTCAACTCGTCTGACCAGGCACTGCCATCCCCCCGGCCTCACATGGAAAGTTCCATCTGGTCAGTGCCAGGTGCTGAGCACACTGTCCCCCTGCTCATTCTGAATGGGCCCAGGGAGAGGGGGCCCCAGAAGAGGGGGCAGGGAGAACACTGGCCCAGGCCTTACTCTCCCGGCCCCTCGGGCTCAGGGCTGGGGCTGGAGCCTGGCTGCCCTGGGTGGAGGACGTGCTGCCAGTCCGCCTGGCCTGGCACTCGGATTCAGCACTGGGGCTGGGAACCTGGCAGAGGGCCCATCACCCCTCTGAGCCGCAATGTCCCCAACTGCAGAATGGGCAGTTGTGTGGCCTTTGACCTGTGGGAGCGAAGGGAGGTTGGCTTGGGGCAGAGCCTGCAGCCTGCGCTTGGAGCTGGCGTTGGGGGCTGACCAGGTTTCTGAGCTCAGCACGGTAGGGCCACTTGGTTCACTGGGGTGGTTGCATCTCACCTGAGTGGGTGAGCCCCAGAGGGCAGTACAGAGACCAGGTCCGCGGTGTGAGTGCTGCACCTCTCCCTCGGTGGGGTGAGGCTTCTGGGATGAATGTGCCCGGACAGATGGAAGGACAGCGCTCGACAAGGCCCTGTGTGCAGGGTGACTTGCCCTGGGGGCTTGAGTGACTTCTGCCCCTGAGTGTCCTCTCATCTGTGCCCCAAGACAGGCCCTCGCCCTCAGGGACTTGCCTGGGCTGGGACGAGGTCTTTCTCCTCAGGGAGGTGGGGTGCTAGGGTAGGGTCCGGCCCTGGCAGGCCAGTCACCTTCCCGGCCCCCAGCTCCAGCACATGCCCACTGCCTGCTGCTGGGGAGCCCCCCGGCCAGAGGCACTGCCTTCGTCTTTGCCTCCCTTGGGCTGCCTTCCAGTGCATGTGTGTGCGTGTCCTTGCACGTGTGCATGTGTGTGCGTGCACGCATGTGTGCACATGTACGCATGTGGGGGACCATGCACACTCGCACCTCGCTCCGTCCTTGCAGAGCGGCATCTCCCCTGCCTCCCCTGCTCCCCAGGCCTGGGCACTGCCCCTCTGCCAGTGTGGGCAGTCGCCTGACAAGGAGAGCCTCATTTCTGTCTCCATGTCGTACATGGGGAAACCACGGCACAGAGTCAGTAAGTCAGGGAACATTCTAGAGCCAGGCCCACAGTCCAAACAAAAGCAAACCAGCCCAGTCAGCGCTGTGGAGAGGACTGGCTCCACCCCTTTCTGCTTCCCAGGAGCAGCCTGGGTTTGCCCTGAACCTTCGGAAGTGGTACTGCCCACGTCAGCACTGTGTCACACCCCTGCATCCCCGCCCCCCCGGCCACGCCCACTTCCCCTTGTTTCGTGACTCCTTGCTGCACACCCTGTCCTTTCTTTCCTCATCCCATTGATTGCCACACTGTCCAGCCCCCTGCAGCAGCCCACCAGTTCCCACAGGTGGGGAGGGCGGCCTGGGTCCCAGCTGCACCCTGGTGCCCACCATATGCCTGGCACATTCCACAGGCAAGGACAGCAAGCCTAGCTGTGCCCCCTGCTGGCTGTGGGCACCCCTCCCTCTCTGCTGGCCAAGAGCAGGGCCCGCTTCCATCTGTCACCCTCACTGCTCCGGCCAGCCTCCAGGGACACCAGGTCCTGGGTTCTTGCCTGGCACATAAGGCTTTGCTAGCTCTGCCTTGCTTTCCTCATCTGGCAGGTGAGTGGCTGGCCTGGCCCCACTGAGGCAGAGAGTGATGGGTGGGTCCTTGCCGGGTCCCAAATGCAGTCTGGGCATTGGGCAGGCCAACCCCAGGCTGGGACTGCTCCTCCTTGGGGTCGGTGTGGGGCCAGAGGCCGGCCTGGTTGCCTGGCTGGGTTCTGGGGTGAATGCCCTCCACCACGCTCTGCTTCCCCAGCCCTGATCAGACACCGACCCCAGCCATCGCCTTCCGCTGTGGGGATGAGGTCAGCCCTGCTTCCTCCCCGCCCCCCCTCCTGTGCGTCTTCCTCTCTGGCCAGGGGCTGGGCCTGAAACTGGAGTGCCAGCCCCAAGCAAGGAGGGCCAGCTTCCCAGCATAGCCAAAAGAGGGGTGCCCGGGGAGGAGGGGGGAGGAGGGAGCCAGGGCCTGCAGATCTGGAGGGCCTGATAGGAAGCCCCTAGAGGTTTCTAAGTGTGAGGGAGTGGTCTGCCCGACACTGTAAAGGCTCCAGGCTGTGCTGCCCCGCCCCCCACGGCTCTGCTAGGACATGGGGTGGGAACTCTGAATGACCTACTCTGCAAAGCGGAGTCAGGCTACAAGTGTGGGTCAGGCCCAGGTCGAGCCTCAGCCTGAATCCCACCCAAAGACATGCCGCGGGCCCTGGCCTGACCCCCTGGGTGGCCTTGGGCTGTCCCTTCCCCTGTCTGGGCTTTGGGGTTCCCCTCTGGGACTTGGGCACCCTGGACCCTCGGAGAGCCTGGGGCTGGCCTCCCCCAGCTGGGGACCTGGGGCATCAGGGACCCCAGGTTAGGTCCCTTCTGCTGGGTGCAGAGGATGGACAATGAGCCAGGACTGCTGGTGGGGGACAGCACTTGGGGGCAGAGACAGCATCGAGGTGGGCCCTGTCTGTGCCGAGGTTCCCCACACTGCCCTGCAGGGGGAGCACCCCGGGGCCCCCACTGTGCCTATTGACCTTGCTGGTGAGGCCTCCTGGGAGGGCAGGGAGCACCTCCCGCAGCCTGGCAACCATCACCTGGGAGACAGCCGGCTGGGCACCAGCTGCTGGTGGAGGCTGAGCCCGGGTCCCACAGGGAGTGGGGAGGTGGAGCTGGGGGTGGGGGGAGCCGGCAGAGGCCCCAGAGGGGGCCCCCGTGGGTGGTGTTCCCTGATGGAGTGCTGCAGGCGCGTGGGCAGTCCGCGGGCACCAGTGGCTGCACCCTATCCCGGCCAGCAGTCAGGTGCTGGAATTTAAGGGGCCCCCATGGGGGCAAGGCCACGCGACAGGAAGGGGCCGTGTTGGAACTCAGGGCCACAGGGTAGAGGGGTCTCCCCCAATTTGTCCTCTGAAGCTAGGGGTTGGTGGAAGCGCCTGGCACAGGGCGCGGTGTGTGGTGCAGTGCTGGGCCGTTCCCAGGGCTAAGCCTGGGGGGGGTGTCCACGGGAACACTGACCTCACAGGTGCAGGGGCCCCAGCTCCCTCCCTGTCTGATCTCCTGTGGAGACTGTAATGGGGGACAGCCTCCCCTTCATCCAGTCAGCACGGCCCCACTAGGGGAGCCCCCTAGACCTGACGCAGCTCTTCAGAGAGCACCCAGACTGGCCGGTCAGGAATTTGGTGTCCTCTAGGGTGGAAACAGCCCTCCAGACATGCCTGCCACACCCCTGCACCTGCCGGGCTTGCACTGTCCGTGAGGCAGGGCTCGTGCCACGCAGCCCCCAGCAGGCTCTGCAGTTACCCCCACGCCCTACCTCATCCCGTGCCTGGGCTGGTCCAGGCCGCTTCTGCTAGGGGGGCTGGTGAGGACACAGACCCCCCCAGTAGGCAGGGGACTCCTGCCCGGGCCCCGCTGCTGGGACGACTGCTAGGAATCCGAGCCCACCCCCAGGGGGCAGCACTGTCCGCTTTTCACAGAAGAGAGACTGAGGCTCCGGCAGATCAAGGGACTCCTTGACCGCGTGGTCCCTCAGTAATGAGGCTGGGGTCCGAGTGTTCCGTTCGGGTGATGACTTCCCACGCTCTTGGGGGTGCTGGGCTCGGGCCTTGTTCCAGGTCCCCCCACCGCCCGACAAGGCGATCCGGGCCTGGGTGGGTCGGAGAGGGGCCCCCACGCCTTGACATCAGAATCCTGATGTCCTAATGCTGGGTCTGGGGCCAACTACCGGGTGGCCTCAGACAAGACACCTAGGTGTTGGGGTCTCCGTTCCTGCCCTGGATGTGAGGGGCAGGCCGGCTGGGGCTGCGGTGGACGGACGCCCCTCGGAGGCGGACCCTGGCTCCAACATGGCTCCTGGCCCGCAGGCGCTGCTGCTGCTGGGGGCGGCCGCGCTGGCCTGCCTCGCCCTGGACCTCCTCTTCCTGCTCGGCTACTCCTTCTGGCTGTGCTGCCGGCGGCGCAAGAGCGACGAGCACCTGGACGCCGACTGCTGCTGCACCGCGTGGTGCGTCATCATCGCCACGCTGGTGTGCAGGTGACCTAGGGGCGGGGCCTGGGTGGGAGATGCTGTGGGGGCGGGGCCTGGGTGGGAGATGCTGTGGGGGCGGGGCCTGGGTGGGTGGGAGAGGCCGTGGGGCGGGGCCTGGGTGGGTGGAGCCCGCGGCGGGACCCGGGTGGGAGCGCTGTGGGGCCGTCCCGCCCCGTGGGAATCCCGGGACCTCCTGCGCACCCACTCAGATCCCGTCGCCCCTGATTCAGGCTGACCGGCCCTGGAAACTCTTAAGGCCTGAGATCATTGGGTCTGTCCGTCGGGAGCAGGCGGTGCCTGAACCTGGGGCACACAGCGAGTCAGGCTAGGGGTCTCTAACCCTGCTTCCGCTCTAGGTAGTCGGTGTTCCCCATCTGGGCAGGCCTCCCGGGAACTCCTGTAGGCTCCCCACCTCTCCACGGCCTTCTGGGGCCCCTAGGCGGACAGGCTGGGCGCCGGCTATGCCTGACCCTCACCCGTCCTCCCATGCCAGCGCCGGCATTGCCGTGGGGTTCTATGGCAACGGGGAGACCAGCGACGGCATCCACCGGGTCACCTACTCTCTGCGCCACGCCAACCGCACAGTAGCCGGGGTCCAGGACCGCGTGAGTGGCGGCCTTTCCTGCCCCTGGGTCCCCATGTACGCCCCCAGTGTACCCAAGGGTGTGCCCAGCAGGCGGGGCGTGGGAGCCCTGGGGGCTGCCCCCTGGCCCGTCACGCCCACCTCCCGCGTCCCACAGGTGTGGGACACTGCTGCGGCCCTGAACCGGACAGCAGAGCCCAACCTGCAGAGCCTGGAGCGGCAGCTGGCCGGGCGGCAGGAGCCCCTGCGGGCAGTGCAGCGGCTGCAGGGCCTGCTCAGGACACTGCTGGGTTACATGGCCACCATCCCCTTCTGGAGGAACCCAGCCGTGTCTCTGGAGGGGCTGGCCGAGCTCGTGGACCTCTACGACTGGTACAGGTGGGCACTGTTCCCACCGAGCCTGGCTGCGGGTACTCCCGTGGGCAGCTGGTTCCTGAGAGCTTGGGCGTCAGGAGGGCGCGGGACACGGAAAAGGGTGGCCCTGTGCTCTGACATCTTTTCCCAGCACAGATCCCGCCCCCACCTCCCAGAACTGCCTGGGGTCCCTCTTAGCTACAGCCTGTCTGCCCAGCCGCAGTGTCCCTCCTGGCTGTCGCCTGTCTGCCTGGCTCTGCCACAGGCCTGGCCCTGCCTAGGTCTCCCCCGGCTTTACCCACACCCTGCTGTGTCCCTGCAGGTGGCTGGGCTACCTAGGCCTGCTCCTGCTTGACGTCATCATCTGTCTCCTGGTGCTGGTCGGGCTCATCCGAAGCTCTAAGGGCACGCTGGTCGGGTGAGTCAGCGGGGGAGGGGAATGTCCCGGTCGTGCCGCAGCCATGGGGTCTGCGGCAGGACTCAGCCAGACCCTGGACGCTGGGCTGCCCCAGGTGAGACTTTCTGTGGATGAGACCCTCCTGCAAGACCCCTCCCGTGCCCTCAGAGGGGGGGCCTGTGGCCGGGGTGTCAGGCCGGGGTCTCAGCCCGTCCTTGTTTCCTGTGCCCGGTCCTCCCCCAGGTCGTTGAGGGCAGAGGAGCAGAAGGAGGGTGGGAACCCGGGAGACCACATCTGGCCTTGGCTCTGCCACCCTCCCAGCTGGTGGCCTTGGGCAGGGACCCCCGTTTCCTCATCTGGGAGGTACAGAGGGTGGCAGCCAGCCTGCCATTGTATTGCGCATTTGGACTGCACTGTCCTAGTCCACCTGGGCCAGGTGCTGAGGGAGAAGGGCGGATACGAGCAGGCGCCGCCCTTCTGGCCCTCCCAAAGGCACGCAGACAAACAGCGTGTGCCTGAGGCCCGGAGGGCAGGGTCGGTGGGCACCTGAGCACCTGCAGGGGTGGGGGTGGGTGGAGAGCGCACACAGGAGGCAGGGCGTGCAGCCCTAAGGTGGGTGTGTATAGGAGGGGCCCGGAGGAGATGCAGCACGTGGTCAGGCAGGTGCAGGGTGAGGGGCCGGGTGGGACCCGGTCTCATCTGCCTGAAGCCCACTCTCTGGAACAGTGAAAGCTGGGCAGCCAACCGTCTGCTGAGAAGGACCTTGGGCAGTGGGGCTGGGGACATATAGGACAGTAGCTCCGAGCTCATTGGGTCCCAAGGCCGGACCCCAGCTGTACCCTAGGCCCCAGCCACCCAGCCCTGCAGCCTGCGATGGCATGGTCCTGTCCTGGGGTGCTGATGACGTTCTCTGTCCCAAGGGTCTGCCTGCTGGGGGTGCTGGCCCTTGTCATCAGCTGGGCTGCCCTGGGCTTGGAGCTGGCCGTGTCTGTGGTGAGTGGCAGGGAGCTGGGTATAGGGGAGGGGCAAGGGGAGCCCCACTCCTCTCCCCTCCCATTTTCTCTTAGGTCCCAAGAGGGGTGGGGACAAGTCCCTACCCCTCATGTTACCACTCCACCCTCCTGAGCCATGGCAGCCTCCTCCCCTTATCCCTCTCCTATACACTCCTATACACTGGGCGTTAGGCTCTTCCTGAGAGCGGAGGGCAGGGAGGGTGTGTTCCCCCACAGACCTCTGGGTCACCCTGTCTTCGTCACCCGGCCCCCCAGGGCTCCAGTGACTTCTGCGTGGACCCTGACACCTTTGTGACCAAGATGGTGGAGGAGCACTCAGTGCTCAGTGGGGGTGAGTGTGGGGCAGTGGCAGGGCTGGGAGCAGGCGGCCGGGGGTCCCCGGAGTGGGGGGAGCCCCGGGTGGGGAGTGTGCAGGAGGTGGGTGGAGGCTTGGGACAGGTGTGTGGGGCTCCCGGCTCATGGGCAAGGCCACTATGAGGAGCGCTGGGCTGCCCGCACCACCGTCTGCGCTCGTGTTGTAGCTGCCCTTCCGTTCCTGCCAGGGGGCTCTGCAGCTAGGTGCTGGGTCCCGCCCCACCCCCAGTGCCAGGCCTCCAGAGGCCCCTGGAATGTCCGAGCTGGGTGTCCTGGTGAAGGGAAAGCCCTACGTCCACAGGATAGTAGACTGGCGATTGAGGGGCGTAGAGTGGTCAGGGTCTCCATGTCTTCCCAGAGAAGCTGAGAAGTGAGAACTGTGAGTAAACCCCCCACCTTTAAGCGTTGGCATGGGGAGACAGATTGCTCACCTGAGCCCTGGGCCTTGGGCTGCAGCCTCCTGGCCTCACCTCCTGGGGGCCCCTGGGACCCCGAGAGACCTGAGAGTGTGGTTTGGAAGGCGGTATCTTGGCCAAGGTGGGTTCTGACCCCACCCCAGACCCCTGCTGTCCGCTGCCCCAGAGCAAAGGGAAGATGCAGCTGGGCCCCTGGAATGGGTCACGTACAGCCCGTGTACATCTACGGCTTGGTGGAAGAGGGTGGCCCGGGGCCTCCCCTGCGCACACACAGGCCCGCCCATGTGCGCACACGCAGGCACGCTCATCCAGGCCACCCCACGGGCGGCCACCCTCGCTCAGCAGCCCTTGCCTCTCTCCGCAGACATCCTGCAGTATTACCTGGCCTGCTCCCCCCGTGCCGCCAACCCTTTCCAGCAGGTGAGACTCAGGGGCTGCTCCTGCCTCCCCCTCAATGCTTGTCCCTGCCCTAGGAGGGCAGGGCTTGGGGGAGGGCTCTCACACCACAGACCCTGGGAGCCACGACAGGGTAGCAGGCCAGGCAGAACCAGGTTCAGGTCACCACCTGCCCCTTGGGTTACCTGCCCTGGGTGCCAGCCTTTTGGGGTGGCCTGGGGCCTTTCATCCTTGGCTTACCTGCCCTGGACAGCTCTGTCTGACAGGTATGGGGGGAGCTCCCTAGCATGTGGAGGATTCCCTGGGGTGGGCTTTGCAGATGAACTGTCTGAACTCATCGGTGGTTGAGTCAGAAGGCATCGGGCAGGTCCAGCTAGGGATACCAACTGAAAAACCAAACGCATTGCTGTGGCGTCATTCTGACTCATAGTGACCCCCACCGGGTTTCCGAGGTGGTGAATCTTTACGGAAGTAGACTGCCCTGTCCTTCCGTGTCATTTTACTGTTAACTGTGTCATTCTTGGGGTCTGCAAGACTGTCCTCCTTAGAGGTGGTGTAGATTCAGGAGAGGGCGTAGTGAACTGTTGAACCGCAGCAGGGGTGTGGGCGCCTGGGACATTGAGCGTGAGGCGTCCTGTAGGCTGGCTGCCAGCTGCCATAGGGCAGTGCGCCCAGGGCCACCTCTCCTCCTGGCATGGCCAGCCCTCCCTGGTAGCTCTCGGCTGTCACCACCTGGGTGCTTTGCTGGCTGGCCAGAGCCCCTGGGCTACCATCCTTGGCCTGCCTCATGTCTTGTGGGTCCGCGGGAGGGATCGGGCTGCCCTGTCATTGGCCTCTGTGAGCAGAAGCTGTCCGGCAGCCACAAGGCGCTGGTGGAGATGCAAGACATGGTGGCCGAGCTTCTGAAAACGGTCCCACGGGAGTCCCCTGCCACCAAGGTGAGCACCGCGGCCGGGGGCGGGCCGGGCACCGAGTGGGGACGGTCCGCTCCCCAGTGGGGGCCGTTCCCGTTTTCTCTGAGTCCTTTCCACCCACAGAGCACCTCTCCCTCCCCCAGTCCCCCGCTCCCTTTTCCATGGAAACGCTTGGTAGATTTTTAAAAAGAATTCTGTTTTTTATATTTTAAAGTAACGCAAAACTCTTTGTATTTAAAAAACGGGGTAGGTGGCAACAGATCGGAACGAGATCCCCACCTGGCCCCTTGCTGCGCCCCCAGAGGCTTTGTTCCTGTGGGCAGGGCCTTGTGCGTCTTGAAGCCGCCGGGGCTCTTATTTCTGTTACCGTGAGGGCGTCCTGTTATGTTTCTGTGCAGTTAAGTGGGCAGGTGGGTGTATCAGCCTGAAATTCATGCCAGGAGCTCAGAGGGCCTTAGAAAATGTGACAGGAAAAGACAGGTGGCCATGCAAGACAAGAAGAGCTAGCTTAGAGGTGCACATCCACCCTCAGGGTTTTCCTGCTTCAGTTTTCCACGTGTGTGGTGAACGGTGTCTGTGAATGCACACGCAGGCAAACATGGACACAGATGGACGTGGAGACAAGCACACACAGACTCAGCCATCCAGACACATGGACTCCCATCGACGCAGTCACGCCGACTCACGGAGGCTGAGATTCTTAGACTCCTACACGTACACAGATGTAGACACACCGGCACATACAGAAACACACAGACTCAGAGAGACCTCAGTACACACAGAGAGAGGTAGACACGCACACAGGGTCACAGACACACCAACCAACTCACGGCTGTCGAGTCAGATCTGACTCATAGTGACCCCTCCTGGGGTTTCCGAGGCGGTATCTCTACGGAAGTAGATTGCCCAACCTTCCTTCCGAGGAGTGGCTGGTGGGTTTGAACCTCCAGCCTTCTGGTTAGCAGTCAGATGTCTTAGGCGTGATGCCACCAGAGCTCCTACACAGACACACAGAGATGCCTAAATATACACACACACAGAGACGCACACAGAGAGATGCACACACACAGAGACGCACAGTCACAGAGACACTCAAATATATACAGATACACAGAGACACCTAAATACACACACAGAGACGTATACAGAGAGATGCAGAGTCACAGAGACACTCAAATATGTACAGAGTCACAGAGACACTAAATACACACACAGAGACGCAGAGAGATGCACACATACAGAGACACACAGAGTCACAGAGACACCTAAATACACACAGAGAGACGCACACATACAGAGACTCACAGAGTCACAGATACACTCCAATGTATACAGATACACAGAGACACTAAATACAGACACACGCACACATAGTCACAGAGACACCCATATACACGTAGACACACACACACACACACACACACACACTACAGGGCTGGGCTGACCACACTCAGTCTCAGTGCCGTTTCCTCATGAAAGCTCCGGGAGGAACTCCCCTCGTCTTGAAATTCCGCCTGAAGTGGGATTTCTCAGAGCACGCCCAGTTCTGTCACCAGACACATGGGCTCTGGCTGAGGAAACCTGCCTTCTGGTGGCTGTGGCCCCTGCGACTTTGCACCCGTGAGCCCAGCCTCCCTTCTCCCCCAGAGCAGCCCATGGGGCGCACACCAAGCCTACAGGGTTATGGGGTGGAGGAGACCTGGGCTCCAAGGGGATGGGGCTGGCTCAGCACCTTCTGGACCGGTGCTGACTTGGTGTGTGCCTGCCGCCAGGGCCCCCTGCTCCGTGTCCAGGAGGTGCTGAATGGCACGGAGGTGAACCTGCAGCACCTCACAGCCCTGGTGGACTGCCGCAGTCTGCACCTGGTGAGTGGGCCCGCACTGGGTGCCGTGCAGGGTGGGGGAGTGCACATGGTGAGGGGCCCCAGAGCGGGCACCATGTTGGGGGTGCTGTCGGGGGGACGACTGGGCACCACGCAGCTCGCATGCCTGGCTCACCTTGCTGCCTGTCCCCGCCGGTGCAGGACTACGTGCAGGCCCTGACCGGCTTCTGCTACGACGGCGTCGAGGGTCTTATCTACCTGGTCCTTTTCTCCTTCGTCACGGCCCTCATGCTCAGCTCCATCGTCTGCAGCGTCCCGCACACCTGGCAGCCCAAGAGGTGAGGCCTGGTCCGCCCGGGTCCCAAGGCGAGGGCCGGGGTCTCCGTCTCCCAAGGCTGGCTCTGTGCCCACATCCTGAGGGCTGACTCGCCCGCCCTTCTGTGGCCCCGACCGGCCAGACCCACGATGTCTTGTCCATCTCCCCTCCCAAGCAGGTGCCCTCACCCAGGGTGCAGCGGGTAGAGCCCTCACCCAGGGTGCAGCGTGTAGAGCTGCGGGACTTAGCATCTGCTGGGGTGGTCCACATGTGGTCAAGGTCTCCAGCTGGGTGGCCAAGATAACGACTTGGTCCATATCTTTCCAGTGGGGCCTGGCAGCCCCTGCCTCAGTGTCCCCAGCCAATCCTGGATTGAGTGGTATGGGGGTTGCCTGGTTCAGAAAATGGGGCCACTGTGGTTGAGATCAACCCCTTCACATGGCCCTGACCTCCAGCCTCTGCCCTCTGCTCTTGATGAACTTTGCAGGGGAGGTCCGAGTTCTATCCAGGCCCCTTCCGTAGCTTGGGCCCCATGTCACGTACCACAGACCCATCCACCTGCCCTCCCACTTGGGTTGTGGTTGCTTCGTGGGGGCCCAACTTGAATGGCAAGCTCAATGTCTTCCTCGAATGTCAGGTGTCAGCTCAGATGGCTTCCTATGTCTGTTCTTCCACTCTGTTATGTTCTGTTGTGATGGTGCTGGTGCTGGAGGTGACATTGTTGATGACAAAGGTTGTAGTGGTCATGTTGTCAGTAGCGATGGTGGTGATGGTGGTGATGGTTTTGACGGTGGTGTCCTGTTGGCAGTAGTGATGATGCTGGTCATGTTGTCAGTAGCGATGGTGGTGATGGTGGTGATGGTTTTGACGGTGGTGTCCTGTTGGCAGTAGTGATGATGCTGGTCATGTTGGCAGAAGTGATGGTGCTGATGGTGGTGGTGGTGACGGCTGTGATGATGCTGTGTATGTTGGCAGTAGTGACGGTGGTCATGGTGATGGTGATGGCTGTGATCGTGGTGGTCATGTTGGCAGTAATGCTGGTCATGCTGGCAGTAGTGATGGTTGTGATGGTGATGGTAGTATGGTTGTGATGGTGGTCATGTTGGCAGTAGTGATGGCAGTGATGGTGGTAGTGATGGGGGTCGTGCTGGCAGGAGTGATGGTAGTGGTGGTGATGGTTGTGATGGTGATGGTGGTGATGATGGTTGTGACAATCCTGGTCATGTTGGCAGTAGTGATGGTGGTGATGGTGGTAGTGATGGGGGTTGTGCTGGCAGGAGTGATGGCAGTGGTGGTGATGGTTGTGATGGTGATGATGGTTGTGAAGATGCTGGTCATGTTGGCAGTAGTGATATGGTGATGGTGGTAGTGATGGTGGTGATGGTGATGGTGGTAGTGATGGTGGTCATGCTGGCAGTAGTGATGGTGGTGATGGTGATGGTGGCAGTGATGGTGGTCATGCTGGCAGTAGTGAATGAAGTGCTGGTGATGGTGGTGATGATGGTTGTGAAGATGCTGTCATGTTGGCAGTAGTGATGGTGGTCATGCTGACATGAGTGATGGTGATGGTGGTGATGGTGGTGATGATGGTTGTGACAATCCTGGTCATGTTGGCAGTAGTGATGGTGGTGATGGTGATGGTGATGGTGGTAGTGATGGGAGTCATGCTGGCAGTAGTGATGGCAGTGGTGGTGATGGTTGTGATGGTGATGATGGTTGTGACAATGCTGATCATGTTGGCAGTAGTGATGGTGGTGATGGTGATGTGGTAGTGATGGTGGTTATACTGACAGTAGTGATGGTGGTGGCAGCGGTGATTATGGTGGTGGTGATGGTGATAAAGATGGCAGCTGTAGGGTAGTCTTAAGAGCCCAAGCCTGAACCAGACGACCTGCATTCAAATGCTGGCCCTACCCTCACTCACTGTGTGATGTGGTCAAGTCATTAAACCACCCTGGACCTCAGTTTCCTAAACTCTTACAGACCAAAGAAAAATAAACTCACTGCCATTGAGCTGGTTCCGACTCATAGCGACCCCTCCTTGGGTTTCCGAGGTGGTATCTCTGTGGAAGTAGATTGCCCAACCTTCCTTCTGAGGAGTGGCTGGTGGGTTCTGGTTAGCAGTCAAATGCCTTAGGTACTATGCCACCAGAGCTCCTAAACTCTTAGAGAAGCCCCTCTGTATAAGAGCTCAGACCCAAGGGTGGCTGGTAGACCTGGTAGAGTAGAGAAGTGGAGTGAGATCCAGGCCTAGCGAGCCCTCACCACTGGGCATCCGGCGGAAGATGGGCAGAGGACACCCCAGTCCTTGTGCTGGCGCCCAACCCGAGTGCTTGGGGTGTCTGAGCATGGAGCCCAGGCCGATGCTTCCCAGGTGCAGACAGGGCTGACCTGCGGAGCCGGCTGGAGGCTCAGGTCCTGCACTTGGGTTCACCCCACCCCCCACTGCCGACGAGGAGCAGAGGGCTGAGGGTCTGGCCCGCTGTCCCCCAGTGGTGTGGGACAGAGCCGGCTTGGGACCCAGGACGGCCAGGGGCTGGCTGCCTCGTGCCTGGCCCACCGGGGGCCTGACTGTGCTGGTTCCCTCCCGCAGAGGGCCAGACGAGGACGGTGAGGAGGAGGCGGCTCCGGGGCCGCGGCAGGCGCCCGACAGCCTATACCGCGTTCACATGCCCAGCTTGTACAGCTGTGGTAGCAGCTATGGCAGCGAGACCAGCATCCCAGCCACGGCCCACACCGTCAGCAACGCGCCGGTCACCGAGTACATGTGAGTGCTCCGGGCAGGCTGGGCACGCGGTACCCCCAGGGCACAGAGAGGGTTCGGGCCTGGGCCTGGCAGAGCGGGGCCTCAGGAGCAGGAGGAGTGGGGTGCTGCTTCCGTTGGGGGCCCAGGGTGGGGCAGCTGGAGGAGAAGGGGTACCCCCTGGGGGGCTGCACAGGGCATGGGGGCCGGAAGTCTGGCAGCTAAATGCCCCCTGCTCCCGGGTACCCCTCTGGGTAGAAGGGCCATCATGGGGCACGAGGGCCAGACAGGGTGTCTGTGTCGAAGGCACCAGGAGGCTGTGGCCGAGGAGGGGCTGGGCCTGGGCAGGCACACAGAGCCTTCGTCACTGTCCCGGGCTCTTGGGGCCCCCCGGCTCTGCTGGTCAGCACCACGCAGAGTGGTGGCCAGGAGGCACACTACGGAAGCCGTGGTACACCTGCCCCTGCTGACGTCAGTGCTGGGAACGGGTACCTGTCAGTGCGGGGCCGAGCCAGGACTGCTGCGGCCACTGGGGTCACTCAGCCTGGCCTCTCCCCACCCCTCAGGAGCCAGAACGTCAACTTCCAGAACCCCCGCTGTGAGAACACCCCACTCATTGGACGCGAGTCCCCACCGCCCTCAGTAAGTCTTGGGGCAGGGAGGTGGGGTATGGGTTCTGCAGCATGGGAGTGACGGCCACCCCGCACCTGCTCCTGGGTGCCACAGCGGGGACTTGGGGACCCCCACAGTGAAGCTCTGCTCTCACGAGGAGCCCTGGGCTGGGCTCACCTGGCTCCCCCTCCAGCCTCATTACCTCAGGGCACCCATCCTACAGCTGGGGGGCTATGAACCCCCAGACTTGCTCTTGTGGCTCGGTTCAGGGGTCCGTGGCCAGTCCCTGAGGTCTCTCCCCTGCTGCCTCCGGCCTCCGCACTACCCAGAGTGCACCCTCATGTTTAGCCACCAGCCCCGCTCTCCTTGTCTCCCTCCGGTTCCTTTCCTGAGGCCCACACAGCCCTGGCTCAAGGCTGCCTTGGCCTGGCCTGGCACCTGTCTGCCCTCCAGGGGGACACACAGGTGAAACACATGAGGGGGACGGTGCCAAGGAGGAGTGTGTAGAGGGCGGCCTGTGAGGACACCCCAGAAGCAAAGCCGTCCTGTTTAACACTGGGCTGCAGTGGCAGCCACCTTGCTGTGTGTCCTTCTCCTTCCGGTCACTTCCCAGGCCCTGAGGCCGGCCACTCCCTCCCGGCCTGCTGGCGTTGAGGCGCCCTCTCCTCCTCTCTCCCCCTGCCTCCCCACCGCGGACCCTCCTAGCGCTATCTGGCCGCCCTGGACTCTAGTGGCCACTTGGGCTGGCGGTTTAAGCCCACGGACAGTGCCCGAACGCTGTGGTAGCCATGCCGCCCTCAGTGACAGGTACCAACGCCCCTGGGCCCACCTGCCCTGCACGGCCTGCCACTGTGCTGCACCTCCACGTATCACAGCCTGCTCCTCACCCTGGCTGTGCCCACCCAACAGGGCCCAGCAGGCAACACTCAGGCCCTCTGCTGGGTGGCTCCTGCATCCGGCCCTCAAGGCTCCCAGGGCCGGCTTGGAGCCCTCCAGCCCTGTGTGTGGACAGGGGTGTGTGGACCTGTGCGCAGGCCTCTCGTGGCTGTCCCCACCGTGGATGCCCAGACTGGCTGCATGGCCGGCCACCTCTGCTTGGATGACCTGGCTTCCCTGTAGCCTGCCACTGTCCTACCCCCTTTGCTGCTGCCCTGGGGCTGCCTGCAACCCCCGTGGGCCTGTGGAGGGCATTTCCCCTCTGCATCTGGGAACCGGGGACCTTGCTTGGGTCCCTGGGGGAGCTGTAGCATAGAGAGCCCATCCCAGAGCTCCTACAGGGTTCTCGCCAGCTGGAAACCCGGCCAGAGTCTCGGCCTGTGGCACCTCCAGACGGGCATGTGGGACCCTCCACACACACCTGCCCCGTGTGTGTCTCCATTCACACACACACACATGCACTCACAGACACACTAGCACACACTGTAGACTCACTCATGTGCCCTGCACACTCACATGCACACACTAGCACACAGACTGCAGACCCACTCACATGCCCCACCCACTCACGCGCACACACAGCAGCACACACTGACTGCAGTCCCACTCATGCTCGCACACTTGCACGCACGCACACACACGCGCGCCAGCACACACTGCAGGCCCATTTGCATGCTTGCAGACTCACTTGCACACACACACTCACACCCACACACCAGTGCACACTGACTGCAGACCCACTCACATGCCTGCACACTCATGTGCACACACACATACACACCACCACACAGACTACAGACCCACTTATGTGCCCTGCACGCTCACATGCACACACTGCAGACACACTCAGTGCCTGCACACTCGCATGTACACACATGCTCACACAGCAGCACACTGACTGCAGACCCACTCGTGCCAGCACACTCAGGTGCACACACACATTCATGCCCATGCACACACACCAGCACACATTGATTGCAGGTCTGCTCACATGCTCCGCATACTCACATGCACACATGCACTCATGTCCACACACTCATACACACTGGCACAGACTGCAAATATCACATGCCCTGCACACATGTGCACACAAACATGCAATCGTGCCCACACACTCACGTGGACCAGTACACAGACTGCAGATACATGCCCCACACACTCACATGCACAAATGCACACACATACTCATGTGCACACACACTAGCACACACCGACTGCAGACCCACTCACGTGACCGGCCTCCCTTTCACATGACTCCTCCACCCAGGCCTCCACACCTCAGGCCACCTGGTTGTGGGGTAGCTGCACCTCAGCCCCAGCCCTCGGGGTCAGCCAGCTGTGCCTGCACGGAGGGAGGGGGTTGGCAGGAGAGGGAGCAGGGCCTTCCCTGGAACACAGCCCAGGCTGCTGTGTCCTGCCTCCCAGGGGACCACGGAGCGGAAGGCAGTGCGCAGGCGCTGCTGCTGCCCGGCCCCGCCCACCGACCCCCGCCCCGCCCCCTCTGCCTCCGTACACCTCCAGCATGAGGGCTGCCCGGCCACGCCCACTGACCCCCGCCCCGCCCCTCTTTCCCTCAGTACACCTCCAGCATGAGGGCTAAATACCTCGCCACCAGCCAGCCACGCCCCGACTCCAGCGGCAGCGGGCACTAGACTGTGCCACCAGCACCGCCCCCACGTGCCAACCCTCACCCGAGGGCCGCCGCCAGACCCTGCACGCCACGCCGGCCGGAGCCCCACCTTCCTTCCCACAGGGTGCAGAGGCCAGGCTGTCGTGGGGAGTTGCCTGCACGCGCTGAGCCCTACACTCCGCACGGTGACCCTGCCGCGTCACCTGCCTGCCCTGCCTCCACGCCCTCTGCGATGGCTGTGAGCTGGCTTGGTGCCGGGCTCTGCCCCTGGCACACCCCCTTGTACCCACCCGCCTGGCAGTTGCACTCTCTCCCATGTACCCGCTGGACACCCCGGACCTGACTGCCTCCGGCCACACCTTCCTCTCCCGGCGTCTCCCAGCCCCTTGATGCTTCCCAGATCCTTTCCAGTCACAGGCTTCCACCAGGCCCCCTGCACCCGGCTGCTGCCCGCTCGGCAGGGGCGGCGTGTGGGTGCGACCACACCTGGGAGACATGCTGGCAGGTGGCAGTGAGCACGGTGAGGACGGGCGACAGCCTCCCTGCGCCCGTTCCCCGGTCTCTCCCTGCTTCTGTCTCTCCGACCCTGCCAGCCACTAGAGTCTCCTCCAGGGTGGCGCCGCTCCCTCTCTTTCCGCAGCCTCCCGTGGACCTGACTGCTTGGCCCCTCGTCCTGTGCTGCCAGGGCTGCAGCCTGGCTGTTCTTGGTGCCAAATCTGCCCCCCCACCCTCGTGGGCTTGTTCTTTGCACTAACCATGTTTCATTCCTAGGCGGGCGTCTATCCAGCCTCGGGAAGGGGCCGCCCGCCCCCCCACACTTGGTTCCATGCCCTTCCAGGACCGATGGGCACGGTGTGCCTGGGCACCCTCCTCAGAATGGCCCCTCAGCCCGGCCGCTCCTCCTGGTACTAACCACTAACCTCACTCCCAGCACAGCGGGTGCTGGCCGGACCGGCTCCCAGGCCAGGGGCCCTGTGACCTGACCAGAGCAGAGGCCAGGGGAGCCGGTGGGAGTCAGGGCAGAGACCCTCTTCTGTGGGCACACTGGGAGGGTGGAGACCCTTCCCGAGGCAGGGGCCGCCTCGGGAGGCCCAGGTCGTCAGGGACAACGGCCCTCGGGCTGCATGACTGAGCTGGGCCTTGCTGACCTCAGTCTCCCAACCTGTGAAGTGGGAACAAACTTCCCAGCGGTGCTTTTGGCTTTAGTGTAAGCTGTTGGCTGGGTTTCCCACGTCAGCACCAACCCTGGCCCGGGTGCCCCCAGGCAGCAAGACGCGGCGCTGGCTCTGGTCTATACGCCAAGACTCGGCAGCAGGGCTGAGTCAGGCCCACGGTTTGCAGACACAGGCCTTCTGCCCAGAGCAGTGGGCACTGCTCGTTCCAGAAATGACCAGCTCTGGGGCCCCGCCAGTGATGGTGGGACCCCCGCCCCTCCTCTGCAGCTGAGCCCCCCTTCCCCAGGATCCCCTTTCTTTGTGCTGGTGTCTGGGACCGTAAAAGGGAGTGGGGGCCGCATTGGCACCCCCCTCGAGGCAGCTTCTGCCTGAGGTGGGGTGGGCTCGGGGGTGCCCTGCCTTTGGGCCCCCCAGGCGTGGCCACTCCTGTTGTACTGAACTCTTCCTGGGCCCCACGGACCAGGGAAGCCAGGCCTCAGGCCACTGCCCAGGCTGACTGCCCAGACCGTCCTCCAAGCTTGACCCCGCCAGGGAGCCAGCCATGGAGACCTCCCCTGGCCCCAGAGGTCCGGGTCATATGGACAGCTGGCGCCCTGCCCAGAAGCACAAGGGGCCGCCTTGACCAGACTGTACGTAGAGTGTGGGGGCCGTGGGCGGCTCAGACCCTGACCGCCGCATACCTGTGTGTCTGAGACTCGCCGTCTTCCTTTTCTCACTGAGGCTGGAGAAGGAGAAGAGAAATCCCAGAGTTCAGGCTCGGCCTCAGTGTGTGGAGGCGGTGGGCATGTTCTTCACCCTGTTTCTGGGTGCCCTGTCCTAGCCACAGTGTCCAGGCACCTCTCCATACCTGGGGACATGGGGCAGGGCACCCCCCGTGTCAACCCCACTTCCCTTCCTACACCACTTAGAGGAGCCCCTGAGCCCCCGACCAGGGGAGGGTGGCTGTGAGGCCCTGCCCCCCAGGCCCGGACAGGGGTGCAGGTGCGGCGCCCACCCCGTGGCCGGAGGCCTGATGTCTCCAGGTTTGCAGTGATGGGCTGCCAGCCGTTCCCCTTGCACCCCCACCCCCACATCTCACTATGCAACTCCGATCCCAGGCCCTGCCCTCCTCACCAGGCTCTCCCACCGGTCCCTGCCCCAGGAGGGATGGCTGGGGGGCAGGCCCTGGCCCCGCTGGGAGGGTGAGGCCCAGGGGCCCCCGTATGGACGTTTCATTGTGTGTAACCATAATGGTTGTGTTTGTACCACTTCCCATTTGTTATTATTAATATGTATGATTTTGTTAAACTTCTGAGCCTTCTGGTTGGTCCTCTCCCCTGCATCTCATCCCCGTTTCACCATCGTAAGCGGCACCTGAGGCTCGAACCATCTCTGCTCCCACCCTCCAGCCTCTGTGGGCCGCGGCTGTGTTCCATAGCTGTGTTCCTGGTTTTGTTTTTTTTTTTAACTGGGTTTGGGGTTTGATTTTTTTTTTTCTTGAGATTGTTTTTTGTGTGTGTGTGTGGCAAATACTAAACCCCCCGTGGATGTAATCTTTGTGGTTTTTATTCTGCTTGGATTTAATGTTTTAAAATAAACAAGTTTTGAAAAACGGGCCTCTTTTTCCGAGTGGTTTGGCCTCTGCCCGAGACAGGAGGTTCGTGGGGAGAGGGTCACATGCCTGCCGGCTCCTCCTCAGCTCGGAGGCCTGTCACTGCGCCCAGGACTGGGAGCCGACCAGCCCGCGGTGCGGGTGGCAGGTGTGGAGGAGCGTCCTGGGAGGGCCAGGCAGGCAGGACAGCCGCTGGGCCCTTCCCACAGGGATGGGGGCATCTGACACAGAGACCCCACTTTGCAGTCTGAGGCACTGTGAGGCCTCGAGTGCATAGGCACCATGTGGGCAGGCACCTTTGGCTCCCAGGTCAGAGAGGGGGCCTGGCCAGGGCAGGGGCTGGTCTGAGCAGTGGTGGGTCCCTGTGGAAATGCCTTGTCCCTGGCGACCCCTATGAAAGCGGGGTTCGTGAGGCAGCTCCCTTGGGCACTGGCCTCCATCCGGCACTTTCCATGGCATCCTCCCCCCAGGTGTGGGTGCAGAGCAGGTGGGTGGGTGTGAACAGATTACAGGTGAGCCAAGGCAGTGTACTAGAGAAGGTGCGAGGGTGTGAAGGGAGGGGTGAGGAGGAGAGGCGCCTGGCTCAGAGGTCCAGGGGTAGGGCTGGAGTCACTACTGGAAGGAGGGAGCCGGTAGCCAGGGCAGAGGCAGGAGGCCATTCGTGGAGCCGTGATGGGGCACTGTAGGCATGAGGCAGGTCTGAGCATGACCATGGGTGGGGACATAGGAGAGGAGGCCAGGTCCGGGCTCATCCAGGGTCACAAGTCTCCAGGAATGACTGCAGGGGGCCATGTCTCCACCAACCAAGGGGCTGTGGGGAGTTAGGAGGGAGGGAACGGAATGGTCTGGAAGGAGCCAAACCAAACCACACCCACTGCCCTGGAGTCCATTCTGACCCACAGCGCCCCTAGAGGACAGAGTGGAACTGCCCACAGGGTCTCCAAGGCTGTCAGTCTTCACTGAAGCAAAGCCCAAAC